TACAAACTGACCAAGAAAGAAAGAAAGAAAGAAAGAAAGTGAATCAACTTCCAAGTAACTTCCACTATCTTTCCCAGGGTAAGATTTTTTATTTCATGATGATTATCTTTTATAAACATTTATATGACAAGCCTTTTCTTGTATGTTTTTATCGTGTAATGCAAGCTTATTTTCGTAATAAACTTGCGCAAACGGCTCATTTTCCACACATATTTTGCTTGATGATAAGCTTGCTAGTAATCATGGTGTTTCTTCAAAAGTCTCCGTGGTAACGTATCAAACTTTAACATTCAATCACAGTGTAGCAGAGGCCAGGAAACGTGAATGTGTGTCAGTAGTAGTTTGTGTTCTGTGGTAACCCTGCTGCCATGACAACTAGGGGCGTGGTCTCTGGTCAGGCGGCCATTGGGGAAGTACTGAGCAGACGAACGGAATGAGCTCAACCACTGAAAGCCACAGAATATTTCACCTCTGAGGAATCTTGCACTACATTCTTTCTCGGTCCTACTATCAGATTGCAGCTTTTGAACAAATGCTGCAGATGTTTTGTGCTTAGACTCATTGAGATTGAGATTGGAGGTTGTCTGAAAATATCCCAGATCCAAGTTTTTGGCATTTTTACAATGCCTTGGTCATCCTAAGACATTTGGGACTTCTCTAATGCCTGAATGAGTTTTTACTCACAATCAGTTCACAACGATGAGTGAACGTGTGGCCACATTAGACTTTGTGTTCATTTCTTCCATTCATACGCATGCAAACGAGTGAGAGTGTTTGGGGCCAGCTGACAGATGTGTCACTTGTCTTTTCTGCCATTTTTCATTGATTTTGTACATCTTTTTTAAAAAAAATACCTGACAGACTTACATATTTGGTTTTCTGTGGTGTATTCTACATTGTTATCTCAAATGTTGATGATTTGTCATCAAAGTAATGTAGAGGGCAAACATAGATGATGCTTTGTCAAATTTGCAAAAATGGCTTGTAATGGTCTTTAACACGTCAGTATGAATGAAAACTACAAACCAAGCAATAATGTATGCATCATATGCCATAGTTTTTTTTCCAGCAAAAATCACATTTTGTGATAAAAAAAACTTATTATGAACACAAAAAAAAAATTTGAAAAGAAAACTTTTATTTGAAAATATCAATGTTTCAATTTTGATACTGAAAATATAAAGAAATATAAAAATGCTTTGTTAAAAATAAAAATGTATTCTTCTGTGGTGGGCCAGTGAAAATGTTCAATGGGCAAGTGAAAATCAGCAGTGATGGAATTATTGTTTGAGGCTTATAAGCATAATTTTGGTTTAAGATCAGTGAATTCTGAATGTTTACTGTTCAAAATTTAGAGTTGGTACAATTTTTTATATTTTTGAAAGTCTCTTATGCTCACCAAGACTACATATATTTGATTTAAAAATACAGTAAAATAGTAATATTGTGAAATATTATTACAAATTAAAATAATTATTTTCTATGTTAACATTTTATAATAGCATAGATAATATATTAGCAAAAATAGCATCATTACTTCAGTCTTCACTGTCACACGATTCTTCAGAAATCATTCTAATATGCTGATTTGCTGCTCGATAAACATTTCTTATTATTATGATCGTTGCATTATTAGACAGCTGTTCTGCTTAATATTTTTAAAACAGATGCTATAGAGAGACATCATATCCTGTTTCCTGCATTCTATTTACACTGAAGCCATAGAGTGTGACATCATATCCTGTCGCCCGCATTTGACACAGGTTCAGTAATTTAGCATGAAATCTAGTGTGACGCACCTTGAGGGAGTGATCAGTGAGCAAGTCATATGTGCGTATGAGTTTTGGGTGTAGTGGGGTGTCTCCGATTTCACAAAGATAATCGAACACAGTATGTGCTGAGCGGATGAAACCATTCACCAGTGAAGCAAAACTAAAAGCATTAAGCAACATTGAAATCTGAACCATGAAAGCATCAAATATCATTGTTTCTCACAATACAAAGTTCACACTATTCATTGTTCTCTGCTGGGGTGTGAAATGACTGTCAAAAGGCCATCTTCAAAAGGCTCAGCTGATTCTAACAGTATCAGTCACTTGATGTGATCAGATACAATCAAAAGCTCAAATTAGAGTGATTCAATCAGATTGTTAAGTGTATACAGAGTCAAGCACAGCAGGAATATCAGGTTGCAATCTATGACGAAATCCTTATTCAACATGATTCATAACTGACTCTTAACTCTGTGCAGAAAGAATGTGCATTATGAAATTAACAGCTTCATTTCTAATTCACCCCCTTGTTACAAGGCGGCATGAAAACATGCAAGATACCCCCATAATTATTTACAAACACATATATGGATGTACACAAGAGCTCAAGAGGAAGGGTTGGTATGTTCACTATGCGACATCAAATGCTGGTTTTCTGTCTGGCTGTCACAAAAAGTGACACTGTCAGTCACCATACCTGCGTGAAAAGAGGAATCTTATAATTTAGCAATGTTCTGGACAGAGACTTGCAGATTCATAACTCTTGGTTTTGTTTTCATGTTGATTATGAGATAAGGTACAGGGAATGACAGCAAAATGTCCAGGGAGAGTTCAAAACAGAACAGACACACCTGTTTTTACATTTAGAGAATGTCAGAAAACATACTAGTTATGGTACACGCTGTGTTCTTCGTTTAGTGAGTTTCAAGTCAAAAGATGAGACAGAGAGACATTGTTTAATTCTGAGGTGCATTTTCACTCTCTGAGTAGAGAGTGTGAGTCATAGGCACATTGGTTTACAAAAATATCTTAGTTTCAGTGGCATGAATGCTTCCTGCAGGGCTGTCCTTAAGAAACATCAATAAGCCGCTTTCAAAAGCTGGTACAGATGGCTAGAAACAACTTGGAAATTTGATTGGTCCCACATTACTTAGCAGAACAATCAAGTTCTTGGTATTTTGTCATGTTTCTGGTAAAATAGCAGATATACTCTTAAAACGTGATACATTTGCATGAGAAGCAATAATGTAGTTCTTCATAATAATGTAGGCTTCAGAGAATTTCAGAGAGTATATATTCATTTTATTTTATTAAACCACTGACAAATTATTTTGCTTTGTTTTTTATATTTAATAATAATAATAATAAGTATTATTATTATTTTAACATTTATTTATTTATAAATAAGACTTGTTTCATTTTATTTTAGTTCAACTCACTGACAAATTATTATTATTATTATTTTTATTTTATTTTTATTATTATTTAATAAATATTAATAATTATTATTTTAACATTTATAGGAAAGTAGACTTTATTTATTTATTATTTGTTTGTTTGTTGTTTATCAATGTGTATCTAATTTTGTAAAGTCACATTCCATAAATGAATGGGACTTGATTGCATTGTTTTTTTCAGGCAGCTAAATGATAATAAATAAATAAATTCTCTTGTTAATTGTTTGGATATTGTGAAGTCCAAAGTTATTATCAGGGCATGCCTGAAAAGAAAGCCGTATTATATCTGCATGGAAAAAGTGAGCCTGATCAGGTTTTCCCTGGTTCCTCTCAAAAACAATAGCCGGGATTCTGTAATCTTAGGAAAGGCCAGCGTCTTAAGATATTATGAATCCATGACTGAAAACCAGTGAAGAAGATTAAAGCAGAGGGGATCTCAAGATACTGATGATTAAATCAGTAACTTTTCTAAATGCTCTTGTATTATCCAATAAGGAAAGACAGCAGACACTATATAATGAGGCCTTTTAAATGTAACAGCACATGCCACGCCTGATGACCCAACCGTAGAAACACCAGGTGATGAAATCAGAGTGGTCAATGGAAAGGACTGTGCTGGAGGAACAGGTCAAGGCAGATACCGTTTTGTTTGAGCAGATACTGTAATGCTTAGAGAATTAACAAAAATTCCAGTGCATTGATGTGGTCATCAAGAAGCATCTTGAATATGCAATGGCTAAAACAGATACAGTGCAAATCTTTAAACGTGACATTTTAAACCCATTACATCTCTTATACTTTACCAAACCAAAACTGGAAAAGGCCTAAACTTGTCTAATAGCTTTTCCAAAACTCAAGCTTAATACAGAGCCTTCATCACCTTTAAGTCATGTTTTAAAACACAAGCCTCTGGTTATTTAACTATAAACCCAGAAAGACCATAAACCTGGTTAACTTTAGGAGGTCTCTGGATTCCAGAGGGCTTCAGGACCTTAGGGATAGATTTTAAAACCTGATGAGTTTTGCCTGCCTTAACCTGAGAAACTGTTGGTGGCCTCCATGATGTAAGACAGTTTCAACTAGGTTTGCTTATAATCCTGTCTGTCAAGTTATGATTTGCAAAGTATTACAGTATATAACATACTTAATTTCCACCATGTTTAGCTCAACTGTATAATATTTGTATGGATTTAAATGTTACATCACTGGAGATAATGCTAAAGCACAGCTGGACATCACATGCTCCACTTTGTGTAGCTTCCAGTGCTCAGAGATAAAGCATGTCAGCTGTCAGAGGTTTAAAGTGAAATTTAACACCTTCCAGATGTCTTATTTGTATAGGCAAATCCATAGTTGCATGCTATTTCAGTGTGACACATTGGCTTGTAGATTCTGTTGCAGCATTAGAGTACTTTAGTTCCAGTGTTTAATATTATTGAGATATTATTATGTTCACACTCTGTATTTTGGCTTTTATCAAAGCGATCCATTCTTTTGACAGAACAAATAATATATAGGCTATCAACCAGAATTATCCAAAGAAAAGGGGAAACTACAGAAGCCATTTTATTGTTTCAACCATTAACATTTCCAGAAAAATATTTGTTTCTACTCATATTGAATTACTAAAACATCCATGTACTGGTTAGGCTAGGAATGTAAGGATACGAGTGTTGAATTTCAACCACACCCACCTTCTACACCTAAGCACCGGCCAATCAGAGCCTCATTTTGGCTCCTCCCACTCAGCAGCACATATAGTAGGAGGCAGCGTCTGCTGTTCTCTATCTGCTCGAGTTTCTCCAGCACAGCAGACAAGGCTCATATCTGCTGCTCTCGCTCCCCCTGCTCCAGGTCATTCTCTACCAGCACAAGACAGAATACACATCAGCAGGATGTCGTTCACCAAGAAAACCAGCTACACTGTGAAGTCCTCTTCCTCTGGATCTGTCCCACGCAGCTTCAGCAGTATGTCCTATTCCGGCCCCAGCGTCAGCCGGCAGAGCTACAGTGTGCGCAGCTCCTATGGAGGTGCCAACCGTGGCATGGGAGCTGGAATGGGAGGTGGTAGCTTCATCAGCAGCTCTTCAGCCTATGGTCTTGGCATGGGAATGGGCATGGGCATGGGCATGGGTACCGGTGTCGTAGCACCCATCCAAGCGGTCACCGTCAACAAGAGCCTCCTGGCACCTCTGAACCTGGAGATCGACCCCAACATCCAGGTTGTCCGCACCCAGGAGAAAGATCAAATCAAGACCCTCAACAACCGTTTCGCTTCCTTCATTGATAAGGTGGGTTTAAAGCTTCTTTCTTTGCAGTTTTATTAGTCAAAGAGTTTCCAGGTATGAGTCAAACTAAAGGTCGTAATAACCCAGAAAAATGCCCCAAGACTGCATGTTCTTGCTTAAAACATCTCTAGAAGTTAATCTAGCATGGTACAGAAAATATATGTGGGATTGGATACATTCTCATCAAAGAGAAAGAAGCTAGACTTATGGAAAGTGGAGAAAAGGGTGTGTACATGGTCAGACTGTGAGGGTTTTTCATTTGAATGGGATGCCACGAGGCTCTTCTGAAGCCCTTGTGGAGAGTCCACACCCAAATAAGGATATTGAAATCTTTTATCTGCATATCAACATTGTTAAATTTTTACAAACTATTACATTTCCAAACAAAAATGATCCATATTAGAAGAAAAGACAGTCACATACCTAGATAGTTAATATTTAATTTGAAGAACTGGGGTCATGTTCTGGATAGGTTACGTAACAGCGTTCAACAAGAGGAGGAAATATTCTTTTAAGCCTTTGAGTCTTTGTGCCCTTCCTCTTAACTATAATAGTCTACTTTGCATTACATTATTTGATTAAAACACACTGTTTTGAATGAGAAAGCTGATTAGTAAAGTCAGCTGGCTCAGTGACACCTTTACTGTAATCTAATTGTGTGTGCAATGTTCACCTTGAGCTGTTAAAAGTCTTATCACTGAATTATTTGCTCTCCGCCCACCATTTACACACTAAATCCCATCTCCAAAAAGTAAATTCCACAGGATAAGCACAGCTCTAGTCACCCTTCCTGATGTCCTACTGTAATATGCGTTACAATTTCCAAGGGCATAAAGCATTACAAACTGAAAACATGTGCATTTCTCGTTATTTAAGGAAAACAGTGCTTTCCTTTGTGAAGATCGTAAACCACAAGCAATATGTTGGCATATGGTCTCACTTCTGTGAGCTGGTGCAGAACCATGATTCCAAAATGACTTTGCAGCATCGGTCTGGGGGCGTTGCTCTCTGAAGCTGCACTTACTGCCAAGTATGGTTTTCATTTGTGCCTCGATTGAGACAAAACCTCTATTCTAATCTTGCCAATGTAGGTACGTTTCCTGGAGCAGCAAAACAAGATGCTGGAGACAAAATGGAGCCTCCTTCAGAACCAGACGGCCACACGCTCCAACATCGACGCCATGTTCGAGGCCTACATCACCAACCTGCGCAGACAGCTCGACAGCCTTGGCAATGACAAAATGAAACTGGAGGCTGACCTGCACAACATGCAAGGCCTTGTTGAGGACTTCAAAAACAAGTAAGTACAATGGCTTTCACAAAATCCTCATTTTAATTTGGCTGGACGTTTGGTCTGGGGGATGGGCAGTGCCCAAATATTGTCAAAGGAGGCTTTTGTGGTGCACTTAAGTGTTCCCAGAATAAATGAGGCTCTATAAATTCAAATTGAGGGAAAACATGTTTTAAAGGTCTTACGGGAGTAAACTCAATTCATTATCCAACATGGCTTATGTAACTGATATAGAAACTGCATGGTTGCTCTAGTCACTCCCTGATATACCTATTGTCCTACCTTTTTGAAATTTGAATTATATTATAAGCATTTTTTAGTGATATACAAAATATCCCATGGAAATTTTTTTTTTCTGTGCCTCAATTAAATGAGGGTCAGCATGAGTCCAGCTTTATACTAGATTACAGCTATTGAACAAACATCTACGCAGCATCTTTCATGGATCTCTGGTCACCCTTCCTGATGTCCTACTGTAATATGCGTTACAATTTCCAAGGGCATAAAGCATTACAAACTGAAAACGTGCATTTCTCATTATTTAAGGAAAACAGTGCTTTCCTTTGTGAAGATCGTAAACCACAAGCAATATGTTGGCATATGGTCTCACTTCTGTGAGCTGGTGCAGAACCATGATTCCAAAATGACTTTGCAGCATCGGTCTGGGGGCGTTGCTCTCTGAAGCTGCACTTACTGCCAAGTATGGTTTTCATTTGTGCCTCGATTGAGACAAAACCTCTATTCTAATCTTGCCAATGTAGGTACGTTTCCTGGAGCAGCAAAACAAGATGCTGGAGACAAAATGGAGCCTCCTTCAGAACCAGACGGCCACACGCTCCAACATCGACGCCATGTTCGAGGCCTACATCACCAACCTGCGCAGACAGCTCGACAGCCTTGGCAATGACAAAATGAAACTGGAGGCTGACCTGCACAACATGCAAGGCCTTGTTGAGGACTTCAAAAACAAGTAAGTACAATGGCTTTCACAAAATCCTCATTTTAATTTGGCTGGACGTTTGGTCTGGGGGATGGGCAGTGCCCAAATATTGTCAAAGGAGGTTTTTGTGGTGCACTTAAGTGTTCCCAGAATAAATGAGGCTCTATAAATTCAAATTGAGGGAAAACATGTTTTAAAGGTCTTATGGGAGTAAACTCAATTCATTATCCAACATGGCTTATGTAACTGATACAGAAACTGCATGGTTGCTCTAGTCACTCCCTGATATACCTATTGTCCAACCTTTTTGAAATTTGAATTATATTATAAGCATTTTTTTGTGTTATACAAAATATCCCATGGAAATTTTTTTTTCTGTGCCTCAATTAAATGAGCGTCAGCATGAGTCAGATAGATTACAGCTATTGAACAAACATCTACGCAGCATCTTTCATGGATCTCTAAACCATTTCCGATGGCCCAATTAAGGCTAAGACCCATGGGAGACACCGAACTGAATCCAGAAAAACCTGATAAGCGTTTCTCACTAAAAAAAGATGGAGCATTGCTGCCCCCTAGTGTACAAAAAACATTTATAAACAATGAGTTTAACCAATGTCATTTTCTTTACTTCTCTTCAGGTATGAGGATGAGATCAACAAGCGCACAGAGTGTGAGAACGAGTTTGTGCTCATCAAGAAGGTTCGTAGATTGTCTTTTACTACTCATGACTACTCATAAACGCTTACTTTAATCTTAAATGATGATTGAATTATGTTTGCTTATCGTAGGATGTCGATGAGGCCTACATGAATAAGGTTGAGCTGGAGGCCAAACTGGAAAGCCTCACTGACGAGATCAACTTCCTCAGGCAGATCTTTGAGGAGGTAAATTACAGCTAGAGATTCCCACCAAACATACAGTTTATTCACTTATGACAAAACGCATTTTGATAATGTCGTGATCTCTCGTTGTGAACTTGTAGGAGATCCGTGAGCTGCAGTCTCAGATCAAGGACACCTCAGTCGTTGTGGAGATGGACAACAGCAGGAATCTCGATATGGACGCCATCGTCGCTGAGGTCCGCGCTCAGTACGAAGACATCGCTAACCGAAGCCGCGCTGAGGCTGAGATGTGGTACAAGTCCAAGGTGTGTAATGAGTATCATCCAAACTGCAAGTCTTTATTATCTAGCTGTTCATTTAGTTGAGTGAGATATTAAATCTTACACATCATATGTTCTGTTTCCCAGTACGAGGAGATGCAGACATCTGCAAACAAATACGGTGATGACCTTAGATCAACAAAGACAGAGATCGCTGATCTTACCCGCATGATTCAGAGACTGCAGTCCGAGATCGATGCTGTGAAAGGACAGGTATGCAACTATGTAGAATGTACAAGTGTGTTTTGTAAGGTAACAGACATTAGGACTAAAACGAAGCACAAATATTTCTCGTTTCAATAGCGCGCCAATCTGGAGAACCAGATCGCAGAGGCAGAGGAACGTGGCGAGTTGGCTGTGAGAGATGCCAAGGGCCGCATTAAGGACCTGGAAGATGCCCTGCAGAGAGCCAAGCAGGACATGGCACGCCAGATAAGAGAATATCAGGACCTGATGAACGTCAAACTCGCCCTGGACATTGAGATCGCCACATACAGGAAGCTCCTGGAGGGAGAGGAGGACAGGTGAGTCAATGAAATGCATGCTTGCTGTGAGACCTAGTACTCTAATTTTGAGATGAAGTTCAGATTTCTCATTCTGCGCAGGAGTCTCATTACTTCTTGTTCACTCTTTCCAACAGACTAGCAACTGGAATCAAGGCCATCAATATCTCAAAACAGAGCAGTAAGTTTGACTCTTTATTACAGAGAACCCCACTGAAAAGCCTAGCATGGGATGCTCTTGTATCATGGACATTTCGTGCTGATGTTTTCAGGGTTCTTTCTTCACATGACTCTATGAAATGCAGGAGATTCTCATCTAATTTCTTCATGTTTCTGTCCCGATAGCGAGTTATAGCGCTTATCCCCTGGAAAGTGCAGGCAGTGGCTACAGCAGCCACTCTAGTTATTCCAGCGGCTACGGTGGTGGCTACGGTGGCGGCTACAGCTCTGGTGGCGGCTATAGCTCTGGTGGTGGCTACAGCTCTGGTGGCGGCTACAGCTCTGGCAGGATGAAGATGTCCCAATTTTTCAATTGTGCTGAAATATATTTTTTTCCCATTTAGTACTGCCCTTTCGGAAGCAACAGAAGATACTTGCATGTTTCCCGGAAGACAAATTAAGTACAATTTACCTTGATCTTCAAATTCAAAAAGTTACATTTTTGGTGTTGTGATAACTGTAGCAACCTAAGTACTTAAGTAAAAACTATGATTAGCTAATGTATGGTTGCCACTGAAAAAAAAATCTAAACAAAATAGCAATCATGCATTGCTTTAAGAAATCTGTAATGATTAAATATTAACTACATAAACTCATTTAGGACTATAGGTGTACTACCTTAACTATTAAATAAAATGTATTATAAAATCGGTTTATATATTAATCAGCTAGCTTACTCAACAGCAAAAGCTAATTCATGTCTAACAATTTAACATAATATAATATAAATTAATACGTTTTTTAAAAGACAATACACACCCAAACGATAACGACAATTCTAACATCCTTCCGGGATCACACTGTTATGGCCCTGTCCCAAATGGCACCCTAAGGCCCTGTCCCAAATAGCACCCTAAACCCTCACGGTCTTCCTCTGAGTCCGCACTTTCGTGACGTAATGCCGCTTTGACTGTCGGGTAGAAGTCTGCTGCTGAGCTCACCTGGTGCGGGCTCAGCAGAAGTGCGGATGGAGGGCTCATAACAGCCAAAAAGGGGGTGCTCGCAAGCACCCTTTTGAACGCTAAAATGACAAATGGGACACCCTATGGTCTCATGGACTTAACGGACACGTGCACGCGGCGGCCATTGTAAGTCCGTAAG